TCAGGGATATTTAGAGATTTCAAGCGAAGTTCCGCGAACTTCAGGCAGTTTCATAAACTTCAGGAAAATAGCAAGAATGTTTAGACCTTGATGGAAGTTCAAAGAAGTCCAGGCAAGTTTAGAGACTGTACGGGAAGTTCCGTGGAGGTCAGGTTCAAAAACATCAGGAAAGTTGAGGGAAATTTTAAGAAGTTTTGAGAACTTCAGGAAACTCCAGACATCAGGGTTGTTCAGAGATCAGCAGTGTGAATAACTTCAGGAAAATTCAGGAAAATTCAAAGAAATCCAACGGAGTTCTGGACCTTGAAGTTCAGGGAAGTTAAGAGATTTAAACGATATTTTGTGAACTACAAAGCAGGCTTGATAACTTCAGGAAAAATGCAGGAACTTTAAAAAATCCTAGAATTTCAGGAAAGCCCAAAGAACATCAGGAAAGTGTAAAAGCCTTCAGGAAAGTTTCAGGAACTATACATAACTTCCGAGTATTTCATGGAAGTCCTGTAAAGTTCAGAGATCTTTAGGTCAGTTCAGGGCAACATCAAGAACTTCACGAGAATTTCGAGAACTCAGGGATCGAGAATTTAAAAGACGATCAATGAACATCAAGGCAGTTTCATTAACTTCAGGAAAATTGCAGGAACATGAAAGAAGTTCTGAGAACTTCAGGGAAAATCCAAAAACTTCAGGAAAATTTGTGGGAGCTTCAGATATGTTCCATGTAGTTTAAGAAAATTTCATGAACTTCATCAAAAGCTCTGATGTCTTCAGCAGAGTCCAGAGTTATGTTTAAGGGTGTTATGAGATTTTAGGGGAAGTTCCGCGAACTTCAGGCAGTTTCATAAACTTCAGGAAAATAGTAATGACTTTTAAAGACTTCCGAAAATTTCAGGTAGTTCATGATAATTTTAGATTTTTGGACCATGAGGGAAGCCCAAAGAATCCCAGGGAAGTTTAGAGACTGTAAGGGAAGTTCCGTGGAGGTCAGGTTCGGAAAATTGAGGGAAATTTTAAGAAGTTTTGAGAACTTAAGGAAACTTCAGACATCAGGGTTGTTCAGACATCTTAAAGGCAGTGTAAATAACTTCAAGAAAATTCAGGAAACTTCAAAGAAATCCAACGGAGTTCTGCAAATTTAAACGATGTTTTGTGAACTACAGAGCAAGCTTGATAACTTCAGGAAAAATTGCAGGAACTTTAAAAAATCCTAGAATTTCAGGGAAGTCCAAAGAACATCAGGAAAGAGTAGAAGACTTCAGGAAAGTTTCAGGAACTATACACAACTTCCGAGTACTTCATGGAAGTCCTGTAAAGTTCAGAGATCTTTAGGTCACTTCAGGGCAACATCAAGAACTTCACGAGAATTTCGAGAACTCTAGGGATCATTCGAGAATTTAAAAGACGATCAATGAACATCAAGGCAGTTTCATTAACTTCAGGAAAATTGCAGGAACTTGAAAGAAGTTCAGGGAAAATCAAAAAAATCCAGGAAAATTGTGGGAGCTTCAGATAAGTTCCATGTAGATCAGGAAAATTTCATGAACTTCATCAAAAGTTCTGATGTCTTCAGCAGAGTCCAGAGTTAAGTTTAAGGGTGTTATGAGATTTTAAGGGAAGTTCCGCGAACTTCAGGCAGTTTCATAAACTTCAGGAAAATAGCAGGAACTTTTGAAAAGTTTCTAAAATTTCATTAATTTAAAGATAATTTTAGATAATCAGGAAAGTTCAGGGAAGTTTTGAGATTTTAAGGGAAGTTCCGTAAACGTCAGGGCAGGTTCAAGAACCTCAGGAAAAATGAGGCAACCCAGAACTTCAGGAAACTCTCGATTACTTGTGAGTTGTTCAGAGATTTTAGGACAATTGCAATCACTTCAGGAAAATCGAGGAAACTTCAGAGAAGTTCCATAAACATTAGAAAAATTTGAAGATCTTCAGGAAAATTCAAGGAAGTTCTAGACCTTGAAGTTCAGGTAAGTTTAGAGATTTTAAGCGATGTTTCGTGTACTTCAGGGTAGGCTTGAGAACATCTGGAGGATTGCGGAAACTTTATAAAGAATTTCAGGGAGGTCCAGAGAACTTCAGGAAAGTGTAGTAGACTTCAAGAAAATTTCTGGAACTTCACATACGTTCCAAGAAGAGATCTTTAGGGCAGTTCAGTGTAGTATGAAGAACATTAGGGAAGATCAAATAACTTCAGGGCAGTTCCATTAACTTCAGAAAAATTGTATGGACTTGAAAGAAGTTCTGAGAACTCCAGGGCAAGGCCAAAAACTTCACGAAAATTGGGGAAGTTTCAGAGAAGTTCTATGAACATCAGAGCTTCGGTAAATTCTGAGACCCTTCAGGAAAGTTCAGAGAAGTTTAGGGATTTTAAGGGAGGCTCCGCGAACTTCACGGCAGGCTTGAGAATTTCATGAAAACTGCGGAAACTTTAAATAAGTTCCGAAAGTTTCAGGAAAGTCCAGAGGAAACTTAAGATTTCTAGACTTTCATGAAAGTTTATTGATTTTAATGGAAGTTCCGAGAACTTCAGGGCAAGTTTGAGAACCTCAGGAAAATTGGGAAACTGAGGAGAACTTCAACTTGAGACGTTCAACGAAATTAAGGGAATTTTAAATAAGATCCGAACATTTAACGGAAGTTCAGACAACTGAAGATTTCCAAACTTTCAGGAAAGTCTAGAGAAGTTTAGGGAAGTTTTGCGATTCGTGAACTTCACGAAAATTGAGGAAACTTCTGTTCAGTTTAAATAAGTCCTGATATCTTCAGGGAAGTCCAGATAACCTCTGGGATGTGCAGAGATCTTAAAAATTTCTCAATAACTTCAAGAAAATTGAGGAAACTGTAAGTTCCATGAGCTTCCAATATCTTCGGAATGTTTCGAGACATTTAGAAAAGTCCAGACTTTTGGATAAGTTTACAGACCTTAAATGGTATGTTCATGAAACTTCTGAAAAATTGAAACTTTACAGAAATTTTGACATTTCAGCGCAGTTCAGAAACCTTCAGGGTAGTTTAGAGATCTCTAAAGAACTTTGGGTCACTGCCGATAATTCATAGGCAGTTCCATAAACATCAGGGAAATTCTCAGATATTCAGGAAAATTACAAGAACAAGAACAGGAAACTCCAAGAAGTTTAGAGAACTTCAGATAAATTTAGAGAATTCCTGGAAAATTTTGTAAGCTTCCCTAAAGTTTCGAAAACTTTTTGGAAGTCTAGAGAAGATCACACAAGAACTTTTCACCATCAATTTCAGGACAGTTCCAAAAACATCAGGAGAAATGCAAGAGTGGGGAAGTTTCGAGAGCTTCAGAAAAGAGCATAGGCCTTAAAAGAAATCTGTAGGAACTTTAAAGGATTTAAGATAAGTTCTTAGAGTTTCCTGCAAGTTCAAAGCAAGAAAATTACTGATATTATTTAGGGAAATTCTAATAAATGGAATGTTTCGGAAAGTTCATACAAGTTCAGTCATGTTTAGAGATTTTAAGGGAAGTTCCGCTGACTTCTGAACAGTTTCTAGAACTTCCGCAAAATTTCGAAAACTTCATGGAATATCACAGAACTTCCAGACAATTCCATCAACTTCAGAAAAATTTCGGGAAGTTTTAAAAAGTTTTGAAAACTTTAAGGAAGTGCAGAGAGTGAGACCATTGTGGTCATTATGTTCAGCCCTTGAGTCTAGCCAACAATCCTGTCCCACTGCTTGCAATGGACGTGGCCAGGACAGTTTTCGATCGCTGAAGGGGATGAATCCAACAGGCAGTAATTGATCCCAAAATGCTTCCTAAGAGAAATTTTCGAGACAACATAGGGGAAATGACGGCTTCGGCATGACAGACTATTTTCGGCAACCCAAATTGAAACACTATTTTCACTGGATTTTCTTACGAAAACACTTCGCTGTATGCATGCAAACGATTCTTTATGCTTTCAGCTTCAATTTGACTATATTTTTACCACTGAGAAAAAGCAATCTAGCAGGGTTTTCTTGAAATGAAACACACGCACTACAAATTGTAGCTGATTTCGAGTTGCCGATAATAGAACAGCAGATTTACATGCAGTTCAAATGGAACGGTTGCCGAAGAAAAACTGGTTGCCGACAATACTCGCTCTCACTAGAGAAGATTGGAGCTTTGTAAAAGCGTTTCAAAACAGTTTTTGACAATTCTTTCGACTGAAATTGTTAGAGCAGCTGGCAGCAAAAGATTGTAAACAAACCAATACTGCATATGTGTGCGTTCCATAGAGAAAAAGGCTATAGAAAGAAGGTCGCTGCTTAGGTTGCCGAGAATACGTAAATTCCTCTATTTAGATATACAAATTTAAGTCACCCGAGGTTAAGACATTTCTTAAACATTAAAATATCAGACTTAGAAAAACTCTCGAGATCTCGGACTACGACCGACAAGACCTCGAAATAAAACAAAACTTCAATTCTTGACCAATTCACCATTATGAGATGTACAAAAATGTACCAAATTTCCACAGAACTACTTCTAAAGCACCTGCATTACATCTGGGTAAAGTTTAGTAAAATCAATCCCAACAAACAAACACAAATTTAATATTCCTCGAGTGTAGATAACCTGTGCTACTAATCAATTCCATAATTGGATTACGCGAGTCTTATCGCATTTCTTCTCCGTCCCGGGGTCCAACCCCTGCCTGCGTACATGAAATTACACTTATTTCTGTGCCTTATTCGTCTTTACTAACCCTCGCCCGGCAGTTCATTCAAAGTCTTCCTTTGGCGTGAGGTCTTTGGAATTTAGTACACCTCCCCCACCCGTACTCGCACGTGGACATTTTTCTTCCTATCAGCCCGATTAAATCTCGGCCCGAATCCTCCTATCGCGTTACCAGCTGCCATTCGACGTAGCAGCGCTGTAATGTGTAGGCTATGTGTATGCAAATCACCTATTTTTATGCCTTTTTCATTCCCTTTTCCAACTCCCCCCTTGGGCTGACTTCCTCCCCAGCCCGAACCGTCGTACCTACCTTCGGGTGTACTTTGTATAAACTGCTACTATACGTAGGTACTGAGCTGCTACCAAGGCGCCCAGCGCTAAAGGGCCATAAAGCTCCACCCTGTGCGGCACCCGCGCTGGCTTTCGGGTGGCAACCAACCCTTCCTCTTCTCTCGTAGTTGACGATGGCCAACCAAACAGCAGCAACAGCAGAAGCACTCACTGACGGCAAGGTTCTTTCTGAATTTATGATAAAGCACCACTTGAGAAAACAATAAGATTTTTTCCGACTCTCTTGACGATTCACCTTCTCTAAGACGCGCACAAGAAAAAAAAACTGAAAACAACTTCTTCAAGGTAAGCCCTCTCCGGTACACCAAACACTCTTCGGCCAGAACAGGCACACAAAACTACACAAACACACCATCCGACCCGGACCAGACTCACAATTTCCCACCTATATTGACATTATGCTGTGGCTGGCTGAATCCGGAAGAATTTCCTCACAACGTGTAAGAATTTTTCAATCCACAATCCAACGATGATAATCCCAACCAACAACGCGTTAAGGTCAGTCCGGAACACTGTCCCGTTTCTTTCTTCCGTATTTTACTGTTCCGGATCTGCTGGTGATATGCGCGTTTGTATTCTTTCACTGCACACAGTATTTTTTTTCCTTCACTAAAGGCAGGAACCGAGCACCCGAACCGTTCGTCGTCGCCGCGATCCGTCACTAGTCCAATCCAATATGTTACAGAGGCGAAAAATGAACGGGGAGTCGGGCTTTATTAGAAACCACACGACTTCGCGAAGCAGATGAGCTGCACACGTACAACAAGAATCTGCTCTGTCCTATGGCTGGGAGCTGGTCGGTTGGTAATCGGCAAATAATCTCTCTTCTCCCGTTTTTTCCGTCGGGTTCGATTCTGATGTTTTCATTCAATGAACTTACGTTTGTGGGTGTGCGATCCCGAATGGAATCATTGAAAAGTGACAGACGCTGATGGTTTTTTCTAGCTACGGTTCACGCTCGGCAATCTCGGAGAATCGTATCCGGAGAAAACATAACGGGGTTTGTCGTATATGTGTATGTGTGGCTACGGAACGGGTATCTAGAATCAAAACACGGACAATCCGAAGTGAAAAAAAACGGTAATCGTAGTAGTGTGCTATGTAAACAGAAAGTTGAAACGCGAGAGTGTTATCTTCTGTCAAATGCCTGGGTGTCAGAGACCAATAAGGTACAGAGAGAGGTGAAGCAGATCGTGAAATATGGTTGTATTAGTGAACCAAAAAATCAACGTAAACGCAAGTAGTGACGTCACTAATTGCTTGTATCGTACAGGGGTTTTACTCACACAACTTAACCGATTGCTTCACCTCGGTAATCCAGCTCATTGGTCAGAGACGAGGAACGGTGCTGGTGCACGGCAAAGGAAAATAAATTAAATTTGGAGTTTAGAGGTTGGTATACCGGTACCCAGGCGAGTAAGAGAGGTGCCACAGTCGGAAGAAGTGTTAGTTTGTTTACTTAAATGAACCATGCTCATTTTGTTATGGCATGTTTGCTATAAGAAATGCTCCTCGTGTTTATTAGCGAATTTCACATCAAAGATTGATTAATTGAGTAGGAAATCAGTTTGGCACGGCATTTGTGACCAGCATACACCTTCCGGTAGTATGAAACAGGTCAAAAACTGTCCAAATCCGCAGATAAAAATTTTTGTTTTGAATTTCTGTATAGAAAAATAGTGAACTTTTCGTGAACATTAACGGCAAAGAACTCACCAACACTGGGAGACTGTGAGTTCCTGCCCACCTGTCATTTCCCATCTCGTACCGGTACCGAGATGTTTTTAAGACAGGTGGGCAGGAACTCACAGTCTCCCAGTGTGTATTGCATATTCATTTATGCTTCTACAACCGACATTCAATACGAAACTAACGATTTTTAATTAATCATGTTTTGTTGTTTTTTACATCATCCACGTCCAGAGGGCCAGTCACTTCGAATGTATGGGAATGGTAGGAAACCATTTGGAAATGCATGAAATTTTTCAGTTTTAATTCATTATCGTCTTTATGGGCAGTTTTAGGTGCACAAAAATTGCACGAGTACATTACTATGGTGATAAGGTAAACACTCGTTTATTTATTTCCTTCTGTGAAAGCATGTTTAGTCACAAATCGTGGATTTTCTGATATTCTCCATACTGCAAAAATGATTTTCCTACCACTGAAGGGGCGACATCTCTCGGATCTTCAGTATAGCTACTACTCAAATCATATAATTAATTGGCTCACTACTTGACTAGCCTATTGGTCCCAAGCAAACGATTAACGTATCCCATTCTAGTCAAAATTCTAGTACTACACAATGTTTGTTTTGATTCGCTATGAAAGTTTGACAGACAAAATGAGGGGTTCGTGGATTTTCCTATGTTTCGAGGGGTGAATCGATTAGCTTGGGACCGAAGAGAGTACCAGAGCTGAGCCAAAAAGTTAAGCACGTTTCTTCGGGACCTTCTAGTCTTAGAGTTACCTCTATGGTACAACCAACAATCAATACGAAACTAACGATTTTAAATTGGCTTACTACCCGACTAGCCTATTGGTCCCAAACAAAACAACTAACGTACCCCATTCTTGTATAAATTCCAGTACTACATGAAACGAAAATCAATTATTTTATTCATGTGTTTCACTTATACATTTTTGCCAAATCATCAGCCTTATACATTCCATAAGACAAACCACATAGGTCCTATAAGAATGCAAAAAAAGGTATGTGTGACCGATTATACATTTCATTTGACACATGATTTTCATTAACTTTTTGCAGGGCGTCTGCTTATTAATTGACTTATACATTTTATGAATAATCAGCAATAGAAATTTGCCAAAAGGTATACGAAAATTTATATCCGTGTTCACTATGTTTGTTTTGATTCGCTATGAAAGTTTGACAGATAAAATGAGGGGTTCGTGGATTTTCCTTACCGCCTTAGAGGGAAGCAATCAGGTGAAAAATATCAGCTCAGAATCCCGACGAGCAGCTTCAGTTGGAAGGTACTTCTGGCCTCGCTTCTGGCTGCTCCAATGTTTTGGTTTTGCCATTGACCTTGCGGAAATTAGTCCACAATCAGTAGTTCGTAATGTACGGAACGGATATAGCTCAAATAAGGAAATGTGGACGGGTTTGTAGCTCTGGGTAACGATTTTGACTACGGAGCTGGAGAGTATCAAGCATCCGGAAGGGATAAGATAACATCAAATCACAACCGGTGCTGCCTGTGATCACATAACATATGTGGAACTGCATGCAAAATAACTTTCTAAAAGTTGACCCCTTTTTTGTGTTGCCTCAGTGGTATAACTGGTATAGTTGGGCATCGATCTGTCAAACAAAATTGTCGGGATATCGACACTGTGCATTCATAAGGACCAATGTCGAAAACGTAAACAATGGCTTCTTTCGTATATTTCTTGTAGTTCAAAGTCATTCCATGTAAGCCATCAATTTCATCGGATAGGGGGAGTCTCCCTCTACACAGTTTACGTTCAGTTGACTTGAGTGGTTTTTCATTCTCGGGAAATTCGCAGAAAAAGTTTACGTTTGCGACATTCGCTCTTATGAAAGAAAAGCAGATATATGGTTGCATGCTGAGTAGGCATTGACGTTGACGACGACCCTGCAACTCTTTACTCCTTGGAAAAAAAATCCATATGCATCTGAAAATATGTGCATAAAATCTAGTGGACATTGTCTTTCTCTTCACTCCACCAAAGAACCAGCGAGCCACAATCTCTTCACACAAAGCTTGAGAGTATCCTATGCGATTTTCATAGGAGTTAAAAGGTAAAGAAATGTCCACCAGGTTTCACGCACAGACTGACGATTGCGGATGGGATTTTACCATAAGAGTAAAGAGATATAGAGTGAAGGCGAATTGTAAATTGCCGAGTAAATTGCCAGGGTAATGCGCGATGTCAATCATACAATGTCTGGCCCAACTGACTTATTGGTATTACACAGTTGAAGGTGGTGTTCGTATTTCAACTAAGAGTTTATCTTTTTACACGAAACAGCGGTTGCCTGTGATGTCACGACTGCTGTTCGCAGTATGGAATGTTGTGCTGACGTAACGTCGTCATTCGCATGCGCAGCAATGTTTACAACATTTCTTCTCTTAACACCAACAAGCTGCCTGCTGTTACAGACCTTGTATGATTGACATCGGATATGCGGCCTTTCTTTTTTCGACCAGCTCTACAGCGGGCTTATCAAAGATTTTTTTTAAACTAGCATTTTCAAGCCGGTCAGAAGCCAATCAAGAGCGTTATTAACCAGTAATATTGCATATTTACAGATGCAATATTTCTTAGTCTCTTTGACCAGATTGAATTCCATTCGATTCATTGCGATAGTTGAATGTAATTGAATGCAAACAATTAGAAGATTTTATGTTTGCGTTGAATAGGTGTAATTAAACATTTTATATGAATAATATTGTTCACTGTGCTATTAGCACAAACGAAGTGACAGACGACTAACTGGCGAAGAAATCTATTAAAATAATGTGGTTCACTGTAATAGAATTTTCTTGGAAGCTTGTGCCATCATCCACCAGATGGGTTAGTTTTTTTGTTTTTATTTGAACAAAGTTGATTTTGTGTACAATGATTCTTTGACAGTGTGCAAAGAGTGTATCATTTTGTCATTTTTTATGCATTTCAGTTTTGAGTAGAGTGAAAGAGATAGAACCAAAACATTCTAATACATTTGGTGAAGATGCTAGTACAATCCAGTAGTAGTGTTGCCATGTGGTACAATTCAGTAGTAGTGGTGTTGCCATGTGGTACACTGAAAAATTGAAATAACAGGTTAGTCACCAAAGTTTTCGAGCCGCTCCGTCTGTCACTTCGTTTGTGCTATTAGTAAGTCGATTTATGAGTGTCATGAAATATTCTGTTGACATTTATAAAAAGTTTAAATTTTTCTAAGAAATCTAGAAACATAGCTAGGGTATGTGTACCAGTTTTAGGCCCTAGTGGTCGTCGAATTGACCTTATCTTAAATTTCACATTTTAAAATTATTTCTAAATTTGTTTCGATACAAGGTAAAGACATATGTTTTGGAAGAAATCTACGCAAATAAAGCCATTAAATTTATTTCAAATATGGCCCTAGGACCAAAAACTGGACCACTAGTGCCAATACTGGTACACTTATCCTATGTAAAATAGATTCAAACGATTACTTTCGTTTGTAAATAGTGCTTATTGTTGCTAGAAAATATAGCCGTTCCCTTCCTTTGCCTTTTCGATCAATCTTTCCACGTTTTTAGTGCAAAATAATTGGAGTAGATCTTTTGGTCAAAACATTTTCAATTGGCCGCAGCTTCGGCCGCAGCTGAGAAGCATATGGAGGATTGAATCCTTGGGTATTAAAGATAAGCACTCAATTTGATTTATCGTTCTGCTTGCGAATGGAACGATGGTCAGCTCAAAACACTGCATAATTTCCGCATAAACCGGGACACTTGTTGCAAAATGATGCTGCTTCTCTTTGGACTTCAAAATGTATGCAGTTAACTCCTAATTTGCGGGGTCGTATTTTTTCTCCTACGAATCCAAAATGAAATCCAAGGTTGATGCAATTGGCTCCAAACATTTAAAAAAAGTTTAACGAAAAAAAATAGTACATGCATTTTTCTTCTAAGTATACAAAAATATTTAAGATTAGAAGAAGTATTGGCGTGGAGTTTCCCCACTTTTTTGCCAGAACCACAGGAAAACAATACGTATGGTTTACAATGACATTTCAGGATTAATCGTTGGGTGGCAGGTCATTGCATACAAAACCAGC